TCTTTGGTAAGCCAGTGCTATAGCAGTTTAACTGTGCTTTAATATAGTTACGAAGGAAAGTTACAAGATATGGCAATACACAGAGAGGAATGAAAAAACAAAGAAAGGATTTTTATTTTTTTTATTTTTTTATATTTTTTTTATTTTTTTGGTTTTTCTCCGGTACTGGGAACCGAACTCACGACCTTGCGCTTGCCAGGCAGGCGCTTTTGCCGCTGAGCTAAATTCCCAGCTCCCAAGAAAGGATTTTTAAATGCAAATAATAAATACGCTTAGATATTAATTTAGAATTAAGAATGGAAGAAAGAACTGAAGAAGTAGTAACCAGATGTTTAAAAATAGAGCAAATTCCCTTAGAAGATAAGAGACCCAGAATACAAAGTTCATGTGGAAGAACTGGTTTTTGGCAGAAAGGGAGATACTTCCTCTGCTTTAGTAGAAAGAACGAGACGATGGGTACAGATGTAGAGAGATTTGTTGAACGAGGGAGTTCCTACTAAATGTCTTCACTTTCTCTGGAGAGCACAGAGTACTATCTGAGTTTTGGTTTTTTGGTTTTTTTTTTTTTTTTCCCCCCAGTACCGGAGATTGAACTCATGACCTTGTGCTTGCTGGTCAGGCACTGTGCCGCTGACCTAAATCCCCAGCCCCTCAAAGTACTATCTGAGAATGGAGGGAGCGAGAAGTGGCAAAGGTTTCAGTAGCATGTGAAGGTATGAAATATTCATTATGGATAAATGTGACATGATGTGCTTATTTGAAGTAGAGACTCATAAATCTGCAAGTTATCAATCTTCCAGCCAGGTTCAACTGCACTTGGATTGCCAAGAATGGCTAGATTCCACCCAGAGGTGCAACTGCAACAGCTAAATGAAACAGAGGTGAGGAAAACAGAATTTTTCTAACAGAAGGATTTTAATAATAGACCATGGGATTAGGGCTGCATAGTGAGGAAGGAAAAGACAGAAACAGGTGGTCAAAAGTAGAGCAGAAAATGGACTGGAAGTTTTAGTGAGGAAGAGCACTCATTACCGAGCTGGAAGAAAAATGATGGAATGTTCAAATAAGGCTGCCAAAGGCATCAAATTCCAGGTAAGAGCTGTGACTGGAGGTAGCTGCAGTGAAGGGGAAGGTCTCTGTAGAGGAAGAAAAATCTTCTCACTGTGGAAAGTAGTTGTGTTTTTAAAGATGGGTCGGAATTCTGTGCAGTAAAGAAGAAGCAAGGTCATAACTGAAAGAAAAGAGAAATCTGAGGTGTTCTGGGGACTAGAAAAATAATCTTTAGCTTTCTAAGTAATTAGGGAATATAGGTAAAAGTTCCTGGAAATTTAAGATGAAAATAAATTCTGAAGGAAGAAGTATGAAAGTTATAGTAGTTTAGACATTACTTTGCAGCCCAAGTTGTCAATCATGATGTTACCAGACATCGGTATGTATAAAGATGACAAATAATATATATTTTTACTTTATTTATTTTCTTGGGATTTGTGAATATGTGCATTTGTGACTTTTGCAATTCTTAGAAAATTCTTATCCATTATGTCCATAAATATTGCTTCTTCCCTATTTGTTTTGTTTTCTCTAAAACTTCTACATTGTAGTTTTTTTTTTTAATTAGTGTATTTGTAGTACATAATACTTAAATTCTTTATGTGGAGTTGGTACATGTACATAACACATCTTAATTCCTTTTTCCATCCTCTTTTATTCCCTCCCATTCTCCTCCTTCCATCTCGTGATCCCCTTCTGTTTTGTACACTGGACTTCTATGCATCATTTATACATACAAAGAAGGGGAATGACAGTCAATTTATAATTATTATAAATTATAAACATTAGCACACAGAGTATACTAAACATTAAATGTTTAAAAACCCATTTTTCCATTCTAGATCTATCATTAAAAAAGTAATTAATTCCCTTTTTAATAACAAGTATCTAGATTCACTGGCTGTTATGGTGGTTATCTTTAATGTACCCTGTCTTAGTTACTTTTCTTATTACTGAGACAAAATACTCAACACCCAAAGTTAAAGGAGGAAAGATTTATTTAGCTCACAGTTTGCAGAGGTATCAGTCCATAATTGGCTGGTTCCAAAGCAGAGTGGATGGCAGACAGGACAAACAGTTCACAGTGGACAGAAAATAGCAAAGAAACAAGGGACAACCCCAGCTCTTTCTATCCCTCATATCATATCTAGGTTGCTCAGGGTGGGTAGCACTCACACCTTTAATCTTAGTGCTTTTGATGCTAGCATTTCATCAGAAATCAATTATAGCATCACACACTCTAGATCCAGGAACCTCTGAAAAAGCCCCACTTATGATTGCATGAGGCTTTGGGGGGACATCTGAACACAAACCACAACATTCTGCCATTGGCCTCTCAAAGACTCATGCATACCCCTTTATGCAAAAGGCATTTAGTCCATCTCCAAGAGGTGTGCAAGTCCTAACAGTTTCAGCATGGCTGAAAAGTCCAAGTCCACAGTCTCCTCTGAGATTTAAGGCAAACTCTTAGCTGGGGGTCCCTGTACAAATGAAAAGAAAGTTAAACACTTCCAACATTCAATGGCACAAGCTAGACATTTCCATTCCAAAAGTTACTAATGGGGGTATAGCAAGGAATGGGAACAAAGCAAGACCAAAATCCAGCAGGGTGAACATTAAATCCCACATTCCATGTGCAACATCCTCAGCAACCTGTGGCAAGTTATAAACTCCAAAGGGCTTAGGTGGCTTCCCCTTTATGGGACTTATGGTGGATACACCTTCCATGACTTCTTTCTTTGGCTGGTTTTGCTCACTCCTTGCAGCTTTCCTTGGATGATCCACATTCTCTAACTTTCTGTGGTTTCCACTGCACTTTTGGTTTCACACTCACAGCTTCACACACTGCCCTCTCAGGGACACACTCCTGGCTTCCTAGGCCTTCTTCTGAAATCTGGATGGCAGCCCTCTTGAATCCACAACTCTTGAATTCTGCATGTATCTAAAACCAGCACCACACAGACGACGCCAAGGTCTGCCTTTAGCTGGAGCAGCAGCCAGGCTTCCTTCTCTCTTGGCTGTAGGGGTTGAGTGCCTGGATAACTGGGCACTGTGAGTCTAATTCTTAAAAAAAGTTCATTAGGCTGCTGCCATTCTGGAACATGGTGTTCTTGGGTTATCTTCTCAAAGTAAAATCTTTCACTTTTGCAAGTCTGAGGTTGCAAAGGCTGGAGTCCTTCTACTTTTTGTGATGCCCTCAAGCCACCTTTTCTGTTATCTTCTGAAATACTTGGCTTTTTCTTGCTAGTCTTTTCAGTGACCAATTTCTCCCCTGTTCCACTTTTCCAGGCCACAACCTTATTGGAGCTTCCTTTCCAGCCAGATGCAAAATGTTTCAAATCATTCTACTGGGCTCTTTGCTCTTGATTCTCAACATAAATCTTGTTAACAGCCCTCAACAGTAGCCATGCCTCAGCCTCAACATTAGACTGCCTTGAAATTTCTTCTCCCAGATTAATTAGTTTGCCACCCTCAATTTCAGTCTCAGGTAGTCTCTGGACATGAGCAAAATGGAGACAAACTTTATGGTAAGGTATAACACATATTGTCTGGAGTCCAGTAGCCAATGCAGTCCTTCTTCCCTGCAGAAACCTCTCGAGCCTGGTCTTTACCGGCAGGATTTCTATTAGCCTTTTGGTCTTCTGAGCTCTGACCAGAATCTCCCATCAAGTACCACCCAAGGTGTTCCAGCTCTACTTTTTCAGCTAGAATTTCCAAAACTTTCCAAACTCTTCTGAGAAGTCATTCCCAAAGGCTTCTGAACCATGGTCAGGTATAGTCACAGCAACTACCCTACTTCTCTGGTACCAAAATTCTGTCTTCGTTACTTTTCCCATTGCTGAGACAAAATACCCAATATCCAAAGTGAAAGGAGGAAAGGTTTATTTACTCACAGTTTGTAGAGGTTTCTGGCAGGCACTGTGCCACTCAGCTATATCCCCAGCCCTTCTTTGTAACTGTTTCAGTCTATAATCAGCTGGCCTCAAGGAAGGGAGGATGGTAGACACATATCACAGAGGAGGAACCGTTTATGTCACACAAAGCAACAAGGGATGACCACAGCTCTTCCTATTCCTTATATCTCATCCAGGGTACTCAGGGCAGGTAACACTCATACCTTTAATCCTAGTGCCCTTGATCTTAGCATTACACCATGAATCAATTGCAGGGTCACACACTCTAGATCCAGCCACCTCTATAAAAGTCCCACCTATGACCACATAAGGCTTGGGGGAACATCTAGACAGAAGTCATAACATCCTCCCAAAGGTTCACTGATTTGAAGGTCTGGTGGCAACCTGATGGTTTTTGGAGGTTATGGGATCATAAGTGCTCTAACTTCATCAGTGGATTAATACATTGATGACACTGTACTTTGATGGCTTTATTGGAAGGTGATGGAAATAGGAGGCTTAGCTCTTTCCCTCTTTGCTTCCTGAGTGTCATGAGGTAAACATCTTTACTCTGCTACTCCTTTCTGCCTCCTCAGGCCCACAGCGATGAAAGAGACAAATATGGACTAAACCCATGTACCAAAATAAGCCTTTCCTCCTTTAAATTATTGATCTCAGGTACAGTGGTACCTTTGATCACAAACAATTCTTTTCACGATTCTGGTGGCAGAATTGCATATATGGCAATGCAGTTGCACCCAGAATCATGGAACGAATGTTTCAACCAGAATCATGGAAAGAATTAAGTTCATGAAGAGAGCTACCACTGAATTTTGGCTGAGTGACCAGAGTTGACTACAGTGCCAAATACACAGAAATTTCTGAGGTCTTTGTCACATAATGCTACTCCATGTTTTTAAATTTTAGGACTCAATTTCTTTTTTGTCCAAATGTTGCAATACAATATAAATACTAATATATGTCCATTAAAATTAAGATTAACGAACTCCCTTAGGATAAAGAGTCATTTTTACAGTTTTGGAAGGGGATGCTTACCTATGATGAGCCTTTGAAGTGTCCCCTTATCTCCATTAACTGCAGCAGCATGAACTTGTGATGCTAATGAAGAACCAGTAAAGGGAAAGTTCTCCTGCTTATTCATAGTCATCCCAAGAACTGGAGCAGCCTGAAACAATGATTCAGGCAATGAATATATGCAGGGAACATTTCTGCAACCTGTCTCATCAGGTCCAAGTGTGCATGTTGTAAACATGTTTTACTACAGATATTTCACCACAATGAAAACAATGTAGTACTAGTTCTACAACTGTCATAATGTGGCAAATGAAGTGACTGTGGCATGTTACTTATCTATAAAATGAAAAGAATGATTACTTTTAAAACTATTGTCAGGCCAGGGATGTAGCTCAGTGGCACGGTACCTACCTGGTAAGCAAGAGGTCCTGACTTTGATTCCCAGTATCCAAAAAATTTTAAAAAGTCCATTCTCAGGGACTGAGAGAATAAAAGACTCTATTTAACATTAGGTAGAGGGTTCAATGAGCACAGTGACTTCTAAATTAATACAGGTAATATGATTCCACATAATACTAAATATTATAAGTGATATTTGGAATCAAGCTGTAAATCAAGGCAGAAAATTGGTATTATGTCAAATCAGAATCAACTAACTTTACACACTACATTAAAAGGCTCCTGGTTCTTTTCCTCACGTTGGCAAAATGTGATTTTTATTTTATTTTTCTCTTTGGTCCACTACAGAAACACATCTACATTGAGATCTTGACCTTAAGAGTTTACTTGGAACACAGTATCTTTAGGGTTAAAAATATTTCACTAAGAAAAAATGGTTCTGATTGGTAATCTCATTTTTTGAGGGCCTTCTAGAAATGTATCAGTTACAGGAAAATAGTGACTTCCCTTTCCTAAGAATTGTTTAAGTAGAGGTTGGAATATGTCAGAAATGTATCAAGAATTCAAATATCTTCTGGGAAGGAGTGAGGGGAAGATACACATCAATGATCTTAAATATACTTGCTAAATCCAAGGTGCTCTATCAAAAATCCAGAGGTAACTGCTAACAAGTACCAAGGAGATAGGAGGTGTAAGAAGATAGGAGGTGTAAGACTCCATGTAGGAATCATGGGGATCATGGCATCCTGGAACTTACAGTACACACTTATGGGAAGTGAGCAGCCTTTAATTGGTTACAGTTAATTGCTGCCATGAAGGTAAGCAAGTCTCTTCCAATTTCCCTAAAAAGCACGCCATTCCTATTTTTGTGCTTCCTGGGGTTTTGAGAGTTTTGTTCCCAAACTCTAGGGTTTGCTCCACACAGGTAAGTACTTCTTTTGTCATTGACAAGGATATTCAGTTCAAATTCCTCCTTAGGTTGAAAGTCTTGAAAATTATGGTAAAAGCTCCTCATGTTTATTTTGTTGGCAATGTGAGTTAACATCACGGCAGAAAATATAGAGGAAAATGGTATTGTGAGACACTTCAGTCATATCTGAGCAGGTCTGTCCTGTCAGAAAAACCACGAATATAATTTATTATGGATTATACTAAAGTGACTTGGAGAAGCCACAAAACTGGGGTGGAGAAACATGGTTGAGAGTAATTGTGCCTGAGTTCTAGGTTGTGTTGTTAGTAATTAGCAGTGTGTCTTTAGGCTTTCTCAGCTCTCTTTCTGTAAAATATGAAAGATGAAAAGTGTAGACTATGTTTATTCATTCAACAAGTACTAATTATGTGGACTGTTCTGAACTCTAAGACTTGCCATTTTAGATTCTAAGTGATCAGTTTTAGGTACATCAGAACTACAAAAACATTCTGTGTATACTTTGAAAGACACATTAAAATCGGCTTTGTTTGTATATATGTATTTATATATTTCGTCTCATAATTCTTACCCCTTAGCATTGTAAGATTTAGATTTAGTGCTGTGTAAATGTTTATTGAATGAAAGGTTATAGGCTGAGCACTAAGTCCGAAGGGTAAGCAGGATCAAAGTTTAATTTCTTTTTTGTTTCCCCAGTTCAACTATGTTTGGGTTCTGTGAGAGAGGAAGACAAGAAGTACAGAGGTAAGAGCACTGCCACAGAAGTTAGAAGACCTTATTTTTGGCCTCTGCCACTGACTTAATTTGTCACCCTGGAAAAGCTATTTCTCTAGGGTTCTTTTTAGCACAAATGCCTTTTTTCGTGAATTTTTTTTATAGATGAAAATCAAAACGGCTTTGTTAAATGTGCTATAACACGTAAAGGTACCATCATCTTTACCTTGTTATAAGCCAGTCTAATAAATGCTTAAGAATCATAACTGTACAAAACTAGTAGTAGTGTTGTAGTCACACACAAAGAAAAAATATTTTTCCTTAGGACAAAAGGGTGGACGACTGAGATGGATATCAGAGCTGACAAATGTCAGAGATGGTGATATTTGAGATGGCATTCCAGAAAGAGGTGGGCTAAGGTCATTTTGGGCAGCAGAAAAACTGGAGAAAGGCAGGGCGTAGGGAAAACCGCAAAAGCTCCAAGTGGCTCCTGTTTGCTTAGCAGTCAGTATGTTGCTGTCCTTAAGGGCACATGGACCTGCCGGGTGTTCACTGAAGATCCTGGAGAGCTACCAGGGGCCAGATTAAGTTCCTTGATGTTTGGCCAAGGAATCTGTAATTATCCTTCTAATCTACGCATTAGAGGCAATCATTTAGCCCTGAATATTTCAGCTTATAATGTGCTATCCTCTTTTGATAGCTACTTTTTACACGGGCCCTCATTATCAATTATGGATAAGGCAACTCACTGAGCCCCTGACTGGAGGATCCTATTCCATAAGGAAGGAAATAGCACAGAAAAGAGGAGGCAGCCGGAGAGGAGGCCAGTGAGGGAGGCTCAGATCAAGGCTAAGGCAAGGAGGACGGTGAGTCTGCGGGAGTGGTCAGGGCGGTGCACACCGATGGATCAGAGCCTCCCAGCGAGGCTCTTTCCTACTCACCCTCGCCTCCTCCAGGACTGAGGTCCCGGGGGTGGCTCCAGGAGGCGACCCCCCCGGGGCCGCCCCTCCCTCCAGGAGCGCGACACCACACCCGTAGGTTCAGATCCCAGGGCGCCGAAGCCAGCGAGCCCCTTCAGAAGGCCTCGGGCGGCGCTGGGCTGCACACCCTTCTGGGAATTGTAGTTCCTGTCCAGGAAATTTAGAGGCGCACCGCCCTCTGCCCTTTTAATCCCACAGGGCCTAGCGCGAGAGGGCTCGACAGCTCTGGTTTATTAAGGGCCTGCTGGGAAAGCGAGTTCAGGGCGATTGATGATGCGCTCAGCGAGGGAAGTTCAGGACTACATTTCCCGTCGTGCTCCGAAGTGGGCAGGACCCGGAAGTGAGGGCTACGCGGCCTCTCTGGAAGTTGTCCCGGGTGTTCGCCGCTGGAGCTCCGGGTCGAGAGGACGAGGTGCCGCTGCCAGGAGAATCCTCCACTGCTGCCGGCTCCCGGAGCCCAGCCCTTTCCTCTCCCAGCCCAGCCCAGCCCAGCCCAGTTCCAGCCACCAGCGCCTGTCCCTGCTGTGGACCCCAGCGTTACCATGAATCCTGCCGTCTTCCTATCTTTACCCGACCTCAGATGCTCCCTGCTGCTCCTGGTGAGTGAATTGGGGAATGACAGACCCTTCGGCAGCCTCACCGACCACCTCCCGCCCTCGCCGAGGGGGAGCACTGCCTCCGCTGCTTTCTTCCCTTTTGCTCCCGTGGCGAGTGCACTCTCCCCCTCTGCCTTCACTTTGCCATCTGTCCGTCAGCATTCCAGGCCCAGGCTCGCAGAGGCCTGAGAGACCACGGCCGGGGGTTTGGGACCTGTAAACAGGAGAGTGAATCCTGGGGGAGTGTAGTACGTGGGGGAGTCGTGGCGGAGGAGCTCCCCTTTGCTCCCAGAATACGGGCGTTGTTTCAGTTTTGGGGCCGTATGGACCTGGTGGTACCCTGAATTCGGAAGGACCGAGGATGAAGCTGGTGTTTTCTGCCCCCTCCTCCCTTTGGGAAGGATGTGAAGCGGACAGGGTCTGGGGCTATGTAGATCTCACTCTGGAACCCTGAAACGGTGCGCGGGTTTGCAGAGCCATCTGTTGTGGCTTCATAGGATTGGTTGGGAACCCGGAACTGGAGACTGGTTTGGTTTCTGCAGGGAAAATAAGGGCTTGAAAAGGGTGTGATTATCTGACAGGCTCAACCCAAGGCCTCCTTTAAGTCTTGTTACGGCCTTCCTACCCCCACTGAAGCATGTTTCTCCTTTAGTGCTCTTGACTCTAGAATGACCAGGTCTTCAGCATGCATGTACCTTCCTTACTCAACTTCCCAGCCTGCTCGACATATCCCATCTTACAACAGAATCTTGCCCCAGTACCTCTTCTTCCAAAGCACATCCTGACTATGCAACCTGCTTGCTCAGGCTTGAGGTGAAATTGAGAGAAAAGTGAAGGGCTAACTCCATACGGCAAAATGATGTGCGTTTAATTGGGTTGTTACTATAGTACAGTGTTTGAAATAGTTTTAATTGTGGAACAGTTTTAGAAAGCCAAATTCAGATGAACATTATTGAGAAAGCATTTTCTTTGCAATTTAAGAAACATGTAATTCATGCAGATTACAGGCAGAACTGTTACTAGAAACAGGTTTCTTGACTTGCAGTGCTTACTTATTCGTGTCAGATTAAATTTTACTTGTGTTTGTAATAGTTTTTTTTCTCTTTCTCTTTGTACTTACAAGGTGTATTCAAAAGCAATATATAGCACTGGGTCCTTTTCAGAAAAAATTAAATGCCAACATACTTTTGAGAACTAAAAGTTGTATTATAAACATAGTAGTATTAAATGATAGAATGTCCTATTGCCTCTTATAAGCATACAGTAGTAGTTTCTATATAGAGAAAAATAGTCGGTACAGTGCTTTTTTATGATTTCATCATACATTGATTCTTTTTTCCTTCTAGAAGTGTTGCTATAATGGCTTTATTAGAGACCACTCTAGTCTTAAGAAAAGTAGATGCTTATCTTTTCCTTATCCATAAAGTGGCTTGAATTAGGAGTTGTCTGCTAGAAATTACTTTTAAGTTATTGAACAGTACAAAGGGCAAAAAACTCAGTGGAAAGAAAAGTCGAAACATCGAATAGGGAAACTATCAGATACTCTTTCCTCCATTGGTCTTCTGTGAAATAACTTAGCTTTTAATAGAAAACTTAATAGTTCTGCTAAGTATGTAAAGGATTTTTTTCAAATAACATCTATATTTTGCTACAACCAAGTCAACATTTTGTCTCTTTATCTTTCTAACCAAATGAAGACTAGAAACTTTGGAACACATTTTAGAGAATACCTGTCCAGCTTAATGGTCTGTAAAATAAAGTCCCAGAAAAAGTTTAATAAACCGGAATTACAAGTCAAACTAGATTCAATTTGAACACAGTGTTTTTCTAGTTTTAATAATCTTGTGCCAGTTAGCAAATATTTATAAAACATCTATCTAATCACAGCTTTGAGTGGCTTACCTGACTGATAATTCTATTATAGTTATGGAACCTCCTTATTCACTATCTCACTCATAAATACATGCTCTGTGTTCCCCAATTTATTCTTTTTGGTTTTTTTTCTGGTACCGGGAATCGAACTCACGACCTTGCACTTGCCAGGCAGGTGCTGTGCCACTGAGCTAAATCCCCAGCCCCTCAATTTATTGTTTTCCTTGCCTTCGACCTTCTCAGATTTCAAGTGTATTTCACACAAACTCAAGTTCCCACTTGATGTAGGTCATCATTTTTTTTCTATAGAAATAACTATATATTCTTTTACTACAATAAGTTTTTTCAGGCACTCAGCACCTCAGCCCTAAAAAACTAAGCATACTTAAATTTAGTGATATTCATAAGGCAACACCAGAACATAATCCTAAACGTCGGGAGGGAAGTAGCTATCTTTTCCCTGATCTCAAAGGTACTTTAGGATGTCTCACTCTATGCCTACAAAGCCTTTCTAGCTGGGTAGCTAAACACAAAAAAATGTGATAATATTCTTCCTGAGGCTTTTGTATATTAAAATACGTTATTGATTGTCCCTTTTCTTGTTTTATCTGAGATAGGTTTATTTAGTATTGAAAACAATTGTTTTCTGCAGAAGTATTTTTTAGCATTATTCTTTCTGTATTGGTTGTATACAAGAGTTTTGAAAAAGCAAAGTAAGAGAAATAAGGCTAAATTGGAATGAAATTGTCTAATATATGCTAAGTAACATCTGTGGTTCAGAGATCTTTAATATTTTACTCCAGTTTCTCTATTCAAGATATTTTCTCATTAATCTTGCTAATTATGTTTATAGATCATAAACTGTAACTAACCCTAACTGACCTTCACTTGAATACTTAAAATTTTTGCCATTGTTCTTTGGTTTTTTTCTTTTTCTTTTTTTTTTTTCCGGTACCAGGAATTGAACTCAAGACCTTGCGCTTGCCAGGCAGGTGCTGTGCTGCTGACCTAAATCCCCAGCCCCTGGTTTTTCAATATGTACAGAAAGTTAGGAAAAGTTTGCTTAGTATAGGAAGCTAAATAAATTATGAAACTGATTTATTTAATTTAAAAATTTATAACTATCTTAAAAATAAGTATAGTACAATTCACAGGTATGTCAGTTTTAACCATTAAGGCCAGTAAGAAATACAGATTCTAATCCTCAAGAAAAGTATTTTAGGAGGCATGTAATTCAGTTTATAGCTGGTGAGTTGCTTATCTTGGTGCTATAATTTGCCCCTCATCCATGATTTACAAACCTGGCTGCTTATTAGAATTGCCTGGGATAATTTTAATAAAATGATATCTAGGACTGTAGCTCAGTGATACAGCACATGTGTTGTGGGTTCAGTCATGAGCACAGCTCCAGACCCAACACCACCACCAAAAAATAATGTTTGGGGTCCATGCTAGATCATTTATATCTGTGAGACCTAGGCATCAGTTTAAAAAAATCTTTCCCCCAGAGTACCTTTATCATATCTAGAAAAATTAATTGAATATTTAGTCAGTGTTCTGACTTTCCTGATTGTGTCCATTTAAAAAAACAACTACAGGGCTGGGGCTTTAGCTCAGTGGCACAGCACCTGCCTGGCAAGTGCAAGGTCGTGAGTTTGATTCCTGGTACCGGAGAAAAACCGAGAAAAAAATTTAAAAAAATAAAAAAACAACTACAAATTGAGGCCATATACAAGGTTCATTCATTCCAACTAGTTCATGTCTCTTAATTGAAACTTTTTCTTTTTCTATCCTATAGAATTTCACAATTATGGATATTACTTATTGTATCCTCATGTGGTTTTATATTTCTCTGTCCTTGTGTTTATTATACATTTTTAATTCAATTTTTTGTCATTTTAACACTGACTCAACATATATTGTTAGGTGTATTTGTTTCATTTATCTTTTAATTTTTGATTTTTACAAATTTGTATTTTCTTTTATAATTATGTAAAACTTTGCTTCCAAAGCCAGATCTTCCAAAGCCAGTTCTAATATCTATCTTCTCTCTTATCTCCCTTCAAATATAAGAAAACATATGTTTATTTTTAAATTTTGTGACCATTCCCTCCTTTGGGTTTTAATGTACCAAATATATTAATCTATGTATACATGTTTTTCTTCCCATTTGATTAAACTGTACATATTATTGATACTTTTGTATACTTTTTTTCAACTTAAAATTTTATCCTAGAGGTGGGAATAGAAATATTTTGTATTTCTTTTTAAGCTACTTATGTTGCCCGGAGTAGATTTGTCAATCCAGTATTGTTTCTACTCATATGCTGTTGCAAGTAGTTCTGTAAATACTAGCTTGTGCATACAGAGTTTTGATATCATATCTTTGAGATAGATTCCTGGAAGTGAAGTTGCTAGGGCAAAAGGTAAATGTACAGTATATGTAATTTTATAGATGTCATGGTTATGAAATTCCTCTGTTGGTTGTGCTGTTATTTAATCATATATTTGGGGATTTGTATTGAACATTGTACATAAAATGTACATCTTTTGTACATTTTTGTAAATGAAAAACTGGAAGTAATATATATATATATCTTAAAAGATGAAGTGTAGTATACTACAAAGCTGTTTAAAATTCATTATAGTTTTAAAATTCATTATAGTTTTAACAGAAAGTATTTTTGATAATAAAACATCTTTTG